CGCCCGGAGTATAGCATCTCCTCGTGTTTTGTAAACAACTACAAGAAAACGTTATACACGCATCAGTTGCTTGAATTAAAACGATAACTCGAAGCGAAATGATATACAAACACTCACTCTGTATCGCGTTTCAGTTTAAATAACCCCGTTATCGCATTATAATTTCGTGTAGATTAAACGAATCAAATCCATATACTTAAAGCAACTTACTATTTGATGCGATAAAAGAAAGGTTAAAAAACATAATGTAATTAGGCGTTGTCATTGAGAATTGGCGAATAGATTATAATAAAAATAAAAAAGTAAGTAGGTACAAGAACTACGAATTTGAGTTAACTATTACGCTATCGAGAACGTTAAATAACTCGTACTAAGCACACTGAAGTCAGAAAGGAGCCTGCTGCTGTAGGCTTGACGACACAGCCTCGAATGATTGATATCCATCACGACGGTGACCACTCAGCTTCTGGTAGCTCTTCAGCTTTCAGAAGAGAGTCTAGTAGTATCTTAAGTGTGTGTTTAATTTACAATAGTACTAAAAGCTAGTCAGAAGCGACGCCGACGTGGTGATAATCATTGCAGTGAGAGTTTACTCATTAGTTTCTTTGTTTTTAACATAAATATTGTTAGATTGTTGGCAAATTATAACGGTAAATCAATAAAACAATTGATGCAACAGTTTGGAACTGTGCAAGTTGTTTTTTAATTGCTATTCTGGACAGATGAGCTTACGACCATCGATTATGTGCAACAGCAATACCAGAGGTTGACATATAATATCTAATATCATCTAATATCAGAGACAGCTGATGCGTACTGATTTATGCACAAGAACGTACACCATAGTAAAATTACATCATTATTTACATCAGACTGAGTAAAGACCGAGTAAATTATAAACGATACAAGATCTCAAAGGAGTTGCTCCTGAAATCGGAGTCACGGTGCCAGATGTAAAAAACCGGGCTCGTCCGGTATTGTTTTTTGTTACAGTTCTTTATATCCCACCTAATTACATACGAAATCGGTGATGTTTCGCCTTCGTTTGAGATATCGTATTAAAAAGAAATAACTTAATACAGGCCCATACAGCTAGGCCTTTATGTGGTATTGAACATTACAGCTTCACAGGGATTTCCTTGTCCCCCAGTAATATCAAAGTTAATCAAACCTAAAAATCCAAAGTGTTTAAACCCTATTGAGTTTCTAGTAGACTCAGCGAAATATTGCTCTTTTTAGAACAGTTGTTGGATAATTCTTACGGGCTTTGGCCCATAAGCTCGACCAAGCAGGCTGAAACCAGAATAGTTCCTCGATACTATTGGCAGATATACCAACTATACCAGATTAGTTAATATTAATATACCGTTAAGATGCTTATAGCCCAACAATATCGTGCACCATACATTGTTATGGACACGTTCACACTGTACTGTTCTATATATTATTGGATAAGTATAAGCCGCTATACTATATGGCACTATAGTAGTCTGAAAGCAGCTTTAGCCGCATGAGTTTATTTTATGTAATTTATACGTAAAACTGTAAATTGCGTACGAACGTGATCAAATTTTGTATCTAAGCCCGAATTACAAGTTAAATAACCGAGATTATAAAGGGCGCGGATCAAATAAATGTGACCTAAAAAAAAAGAAAATCATCCCTGTGCACCCACATAATACCTTAATCGCGACAAAATGAAAAGAAAAAAAATTTGAACCTGTTACATGGGATCAGGGAACAATACATCTTATCCCGGTTTTATTGTTGGAGTCCCGCGGCCGTCGGATCTGCAACGCCCCCGATGAATTCTGCAAATCCCTTCGAAGACAAGTCTGCTACCTGCTCCAAAACTACGGCTCGATATTTTTTATTGGTTCACGTTTGTTCAATATCACCTGTTTTGTAAACCTAAAGTTTTTTTTTTACGGTTGCCCTAAATAGGGAAGTCTGACTCACGGCCCAGCTGGTTATTGGAACCCATGGGCATCTCAACGGGAATGACTAGTCTATTTACTAGTTTCCTAGACTAGTTCTTTGTGGCAGAAAAGGGCAGGTCGGTAATGGCAACCCATAAGCCCACACGGAAGTTGAAATGTCATTTTTATTGTAAAAGAACAATCCTAATTTTACCTCACAAAGAATACCAACCCGGCATCATTTCATATAGTTAAACCAGAAGTTAATCTTCACATTACAAAATACTTTCGGTTCATTGTGAACATTCATACTTCTCCAGGGTCGACCTACATATCGTGCCTTACCTACGAAGCTCCAGTTGCATGGAGTCATAAAAAACCACTAACCAAGCATTTGTATTAAGAAGTCCTTAAACATAGATAGATGACACGATTGTTTTTAAAACGCTGATCCGTCATTTTATATTTGGCGAAGACATAAAACCAATAAAGATTGTTATTGTGTAAACACGTTATCTCGATTAGATAAAGAGTTATAAAAACATGTTTGTATTACAAGATTTATGTTGTACTTAAGTATGTATCTAAACAGCTTTGTCAGAGGGCTCTAAATAATTTTTAAGTAAACATCTTGAAAAAAATATCTGTGATTTTTTCGTGACTTTTCTCTTAGAAATGTATTAAAATAATATATAGATTAATTAGAAAAAATAGGCAGATGAGTTTAGGAAGTTTACGAGTACCAAAACATGATGGCACCACTGCTATTTCGCATCTCGAAGAGAAGCCGTATTCAAGACAAAACATTAGGAGCAGGAATAGAGGAAATTAATTACGAAAGAGATGGCGAACACTCTTAATGCTCACCCGTAATGCCTATTAAAAGGTGATCCAAAACCTGTAAGGCACTATAGATATTTTTCAGTTTATAAGTAGCAAGATTCCAATTTTCTACACGTCACACAGTTCATGTTACTATGTGAATTCGTCTGATGAAAATTGGCTTCGCGAGCTATATAAGTCTTCAAGAAACTCCGTTCGCTGTCATCGGATACAAGGAATTTTTCGAGCTGATGATTATTACAAAAAATGAGTTTTTAAATTCGATACTGGCACTGGTTTGCGTGCAGGCGAGCCCACACCGGCTCGTGATACTGTACTGTTCATGCCGGCTGCGATGCCATCACGGTTTGAATGCATTTATTTCAATCAATTTGTGTCTCAAAATGAGTAGCGGCCGTCGGTCGCAAACAAGAAATATTACTTAGACAGTTAACTTTATTGTTTTTCAATGTTTAGCGGCAGTGTTTTTCGATTCGTTTCGGTTCTATGAGTCACTTTACCGCTCAAGGCCACTACGCCGGCCGGCGTTCCGTAGCAACTGTTTTTTTTTTTTTTCAACTACACATTTTTTTCTTTGTGGTTCTACGGTTATTGCCAGTTAGAAATTGGTTAACTGATCGCTGATCGGTTAGGTAACATAAAACTTTAAGTACACAGTAGTCGATTTTGTGGATTTTCGTTGATAAATTTATGTGTTTCATTTTTGGCAACACTACGAATTAGGTTAACGATTTTTGTCTATTTTTTCAGACTGTACAACGTTTGACGGATTGCTATAGTTTATTTACAATTAAAACTAGTATGTAATGAATAGATTTTTTTTTCAATTGTGTTGTAATGTGAATGAATTTTTAGACAAAGCAATGTTAATTTAACTAGCGACAGATAACGTAAAATTGGAATCGAAAATCGAAATCTATATTTAGGTGTCACACTATATGTAAATAATCTGTGACGATTTCGGTGTTACGGCATTATGACCTAAAGATCTTAGTTACCAGGTCATAAAATCCCTTAAAAAAAATGTTACAGCACTCTGACAATGACATCGTCCTTCAGATTTCAAGTCCTTCCTTGTCTTTCAAGAACATCACGATGCTCTCTTAGGTACCACCAATCAGCATATAATGAAACGAATAATTTCAGTGGAAGTTTATTTATTCAAATGTAAATATCCGTTTGACTGATGCAATATTCGAGAAGAATTGCCTACTCCCCAAAGTTAGGTGAAAATTCACTAGAACTTTCTTTCGTATTTACAGTTCGTTCTAAGACGTTATAGTGATTCTCTTTCGATATTAAAAATATTTTTGAATGTTTTATGGTGTAGGTAAAGTTAGTTATTTTACAATATATTTCAATAAAACTTTATACTTTATTCTAAGCGCAATATGGTGTGACATATTATTAATTTGTTTAGTTTTTTTGAATTCAAGAATGAAGATAAGAAATAAAAATTAAAATCCAACAATACAGTTATCATTAATGTAACAAGTGTTGCTAATACCTATGTTGTGTACTTATCGTCTTAAAACAGAAAAAAAAACAAAAATGATATGTGTATCTTCAGACTATTTTCAACTTGTTTTTCACAAAGTTTATTTAATGGAGTACTAAAATGATGTCAAAACAGTCATACGTCTTCTAGTTATTTAAAAAATACACTACTTATAAAACTTTTATTTCTATGTTATCAAGATTTTGCAGTTTATGACCGCTAGTCGAGGATAGTATTTAACAAATTAAATTATGGACTATATCTTAATTCAGTTAAAACTTATAACGTTTTTATTTGTCTTACTTACCTATACACATACAATAAAACAATGAACGATATCACGGAAATCCTTAGACAAACATAAATATGTATGTTTTATCGCTTAGTGTTCTTATCTTTACGTCCAGACTAGTCGACTTGACGCCTGATAAATAAATATACATAAATTATCTATAAAAGATGTTACAATATTTTTATTCTAATGTTTCCTATCGGTAACAAAGGAAAAAAAAACAAATGTCATTAACGAAACACTTTAGAAAAATATATCACTGGGTCTCAGAGCCCGTACGCGTTCGAACAAAGAAAAGCCGGCCGGCTTTCTTTCGTGAGACGACACAGACACGTCCTTCTCACAACACGGCCGGGCGCAACTGGCCTGCGGGGAGGTCGGTGCCGGTTGCGGAGCGACTCCCCGCACCCCCGGCCTCGACTCTCTATATAAATTGCCTGTGCTTCCCGTTTCTATCAGTCCGTCAGAAAGAGCGACAGGGTTGGGTGGGTCATACAGTGAGCCTAGGGCGAGTGACGAAGCCCTGTGGTTACGAGATCAGATCTGATGCGGTCGTGAGCTTAGGACATTTTCATATTCCCATCGATCTCTTGACGATAACTAGTCGCCGGTCCGAAAACCGGTCGTTCAGTGCGAATTAGCAGTACAAAAGAGACTTGTGATATTTTTCTAGTATAAGTTCCGGTATTCATCGGAACAGTTTAAATTTTTTCGTATCTAAAAGTGTACAATATAAGTAAAAATTTGGAAAACATGGAGATCCTGCCGGTCACCAATCAATTTAATGTGGGATTCAACAGCGAAAAAGGTGAGTCTCGACTTTCTATCGAGTGTTGCGAGAGGAAGCCGGCTTTCTAACCGGGCGTCAGCTGTTGCCATGCGGCGCGCGCACCGCCAGCCACTCCACCGGCGGCCGCGGGCCCTGAGGCGAGGAGCCGGCTGACGTCACGTCCAGCTGATCTACATCAGCTGTTACGCTGCGCCCTTCGAGAGACGATCCATATATTATTTACGTTTCCCTTTTCTTGCGTCATTTCACTTTAATTCTAATTGTATACAAGTATCTTTTGTAAAATATAAATTATTCTAATTGGATATTTTTTTTTTAAATACCATTTTGAAATTGGAAATAAAAATGAATTTTTTTGTATTGTTGTAGCGTGGAGCGGGCCGACATGGCGGGAAGCGCCGGCGCCGGTGCCGACGGAAGCGGCGCTGGCCCAGAGGCTCGAGAGAGAACTACGAGCGGCCAAAGGAGCCAGCGAGCTCGCCACCGCGGAGGTCTTAGTGCCGGCGGAGCTGCTCGCGAGGGCGTCGCGGCAGACCCTCGCGCTAGCGGAGGGAGAGCCCTGTGGGTCCCGGGGCGCAGCCGTCATCATCGACGTCGCGGGACGAAGACTAGCAGCCTTCAAAATAGACCCGAATACGTTGACCACGCACGAAATACATCTACACCTTGAACACGACCCCACGAACTGGACGAGTCTGTTGCCGCAATTCTTAAAGTGAGTCTTCTTTTACACTCAATCACCGTGTAGACGTTTGTAGACGCGAGCCCGCTACGAGTTGTACTAACGAGCTTTCTCTTTGCAGAAATTTAACGCGAGGCGGCACCATCATCATCAGCCCCCAGTTCACGATAGAGAAGAAGAAATTGTTCAGGAGCCAGGCGGAGTGATGGCTGGGCGCGAGCCGACTGACTGCCCTCCTCGATCGATATCTACGTATCGTTAATTTGACAAATATCAATATTATTATAATAATAATATGTATATTAATTATTATATATTTTTAATAAGAGAAAATCAAAAGCACAGCGTGATATGTAATGTATAGTGGTAGTGTAAGCGCGGAAGAGCGCGTCGCCGCCGCCTCCCGTAGTGATGCGAAATACACTTTACTTATCGATAAAGTGTCGATGTTCGTGCTGGTCGGGCCGTCGGCGGCGCGCGGCGCGGCGGCGTGCGGCGGCGAGCGTCGATCTCCCCTCACCCCTCTGTCGCCCGCCCCCCACCCGCGCGCCCTCCGCACTTACCTTCGTTCTATGATCATTGTTTGTATTTTATTATTGGATGTTTGAATGATTGTGAATCGCGATGGTTGTCCGCGTGAGTGGCGCGGCGGCGCCGGTGCGCTCCCTATGATCTCAGTCGCCGCCGCGCGTGTGATACTGATAACCCTGATAGGTTTAGTCTTAGGTATTATTTTTTTTTTGTTTGTTTCGAGTTTGATTCTATTCTGGAGTTGCGTAGAGTTTTGTATTTTCACGTATCGTAACTGTATTTGTTCGGGGCGATCGATTCGGTCCGGAAATGTGTACGTTTTTTTTTTGTATTCGACCAGCGTAGGCAGGGACGTAATGAGTCCGAGCGGCGTCAGGTCTGGCCATTAATAAAATCGTACATTTGTTTGTGATACTACTTTTGTAATGTATAAAATTTTATGATGAAAAAGAAATATACTTTATATGAACGAGAGAACACGCATGCAGATGTAGTAATAAAGGCGTAGAGGGCGCAGTGAGCGGCGGGAACGCCTCTCCCCGCACCCCCTACCCCGTAAAGATCTCAGATTATATTAATATAGTTATATATTATAATAAAAAAAAAGTATTAAGTTATTTAAGTTAATATAAAGATTGTAATTTTTTTGTAATATTGTTTTTTCTAATGGCGCGCATTGCCGCGTTGCGAGTCCAGTGGGTGCGAGTCGGTACTAACAGTACACGAGCGTGAATGTGTGATGACGAGGTGTCGAGCAGCAGTGGAATGCATTTCCTTGAACCAGTGTGTGAACTACATTAAATGTATGAACGATAGGCTCGCCGTTCCCGAACGGAATCCACTGAATGTTTTGTATTCTGTATAGGGTTCAGTGTTTTAAACGCACAATATCATAGTACTAGATGTGTCACTACTCATCGATGAAACATGTAAAAAAAATACCACGTTTACTTCTAAAATGTCGACATATACAAAAGAACTAACAATAATGATAATAAGAATAATAATAATAAAAATAATAAGAATAATAATAATAATTGTAAAATGTGTATAATATCAATTGTTTATAATTGATATTTATTTGATAGACAGTAAAAGAAAATGTAGAAAAAAATTGAAGAGTAAAAAAAAATACATAGTTTCAAAAAATATATGTACTTGTTTTAATTTCTCGTGACCCTTACTTGGCCAAGCGGTGCTGGCTGCCGGTAAACCGCCCAAGATCAAACAGACTCGTGCTGTTCAAGTTTCTGTGGGTTATATCTAGACCAGCCTTTCCCAAAGTGGGCGTTAACGCCCCCTTGTACTGCAGGCCCAAAGGGGGGGCGGTAAGAGAGAAAAAATAGGGATGTTGTGTAGAGACTTGTGAGGCGATTTGTAATTTCATCTAGCACCATTTGGACACCGACTGACCTCTCACTATAGTGGTTATTAAGTAGGTGAAAAACTGAGGGCACTAAAAAGAAATTTATTCTCAAAGTGGGCAATAGACAAAATAAGTTTGGGAACCCCTGATCTAGACTGTAGTGCTCCAGATGGACCGTGAACCGTAAGTTTGATTCAATGAAAACTCAAAGCTTCGATTTAAGAAACGAAAAAGAAAACAAAGAAACGAATTTTATCATAAATTAACATAAAGCTTAAGCCAACTAAGAACAGGCCGAGAGTGAGGGCTATAAATTTTGTGTGAACTGGCTCTGAACTGGTTCGGACCGGTTCGCTCGTACCGGTCGTGCGCCCTACCATCCCTCGCACTCATCCTCGTTTAATAGTCGTGTAGGACTGGTCGAGTTGTCTACGTGCACGGAACTTACGTGATCGAAACTGGAGATGACGGTCTTGAATCTAACACAATGTCACTTAGAAGATACCTGAGTAGGCACTAATAGACATATCATCTTCTCGCATTAAAACTGCAATCTCAAAACTTACTAACTTTACAGGGGAATGTTTTAAAATGTGATATTTTTAATAATAGTCATCTTTGCAACATTTATTTTTTATTTTTTACCAGTTACATTATCAGTCTTTTGAAGTAAAATAAAAATATGTACCTATTAACTTTGTTAAAAGTAGTCAAAACATAGGTAAACTAAAAAAATAAAATTAAACTACGCTCTTTTGACAGTATTTATGAGAAAATATACTGGAGATACCAAATGATTCCGCATATTAACTCAATATTGAATATTTTTAGAAATTGTACGCTTTTAATGCGAAAAGGCGATATGTACCTACTTTTGTGCACATCATCCAAGATATCTACTAGAAAGCGATGCTGTGCCCTTAAATCTCACGAGCACGTTCGAACCTTTATAAGGGAGACCAAGCATTAAAATTGAGTAGCAAACTGCATTATGCTGTTGCGCAACCCATAGCTTTGTTTGCAAGGTATGCTCATCAAAATAGCCAACAGCTAATAGAGCTGTTATATGACTATGAATGAAAGTTTTCTTTGATTTTTCGAAAGTAATTTTCAGGCCCAACTAATGACACCTGATGCTTGTATCTATCTCTATATATATAAAAATGAATTTTTAGTTAGTCTCGCTAAAACTCGAGAACGGCTGGACCGATTTCGCTAATTTTGGTCTTGAATTAATTATGGAAGTCCGGAGAAGGTTCAAAAGGTATATAAATATGAAAATGCTCGGAATTAAATAAAAATAACAATTTTGTTTTCCCTTTCATATGTCCCCTGTCGGACGGATTCCTTTTATTTGTTTTAAGTTTATTTTATACAAAAGTTTAGGTCTTTTATTTATCGATTGAGGCACTACGAAGTCTACCAGGTCAGCTAGTTTTATATAAAATTGACCCGGTGAACATGAAGCGAATTCGTTTAACGCAAACAATATTCAATTTACGACAGGACGCGATCTCATCGGGGCCTGCACGGAAATCGGTACGACGTGGCAACTAAACTCGTTTACGACTGACTAAAGACAGCTCAAAATCCAAAATCGAATCTTACTGTGACAGAATGAAAGCTCACAATCGCCTAACTATCACAAAAAGAGCCCCAACATGTTTTGTGAAGCCAAAATTAATGGTTATAGAGTCAAAAAAAAACCTTAGAGCATGATTAATCTGTAATTCATAATAGAGGAAGAGGAAATTGTGTCGATTAGAAATACAGTTACAAAATTATAGTTTATGGATGTTTTTGTTTCATTAATATTACGTTTGTCGCTGTTTGTCTGCGATGCCAAACAGAACTGACATTTTCAGTGATTAAAAACACTTGCGGCCTAATCTTTCACGTCTCAAATGAGTGCTTCACGTGTATTCCCGACCGCGTACCGCCAATATCTTGACAACAAAATATATTTATTTTATCCGCTCCAAAAATGATGAATAATGAAGATCACCAGTAGTACTGATGCAGTCTCCATGATATAATTTGTATAAAAATACCCCACTCTACAAACCAGAGCGCGTCACTCCTTTGCAACGGCAATGAGCAAGATGAGGCCCTCTTATGTACTCTCAATACCTTACTATCAGTAATTATAAATTGGCAGATTTTAATTCTTTATTTAACCTATAATTCCTTCATCATGAAAATCGTGAACACATATTTAACGAGCTCCCTTGAAAAAATTGGTACCTGCATGAGGGATTTCAATAAGAGCATATTCGCGTCACTCGAGACAAGTACACTTGAGATGACACTCAAACTTCTCTGTGTGAATACGAGATGTGTCCTCGCCTTCTTTGCTCTACTGCCCTTATCCTAATAAGGATTATTGGATCGGCAAATCGAGATAGGAGCTACTGAGGAAATAAGAGGACTATTGTATGGATTATAGATTAATTAGTAGTAGTTCTTTGAAGAATTTTAATGTCGTATATCCCGGTATAAACTCTAGACACCATTATTATTTGAGGTACGGGACCTTCATAATGTGAATTAGAAGGCTAAATCTACTTGAGAGTATTTTAAGTGGATTTTCATTATTGAATTTTACTAATAGGATTCAAAATGGGAAAATAAATAGAAAATGTCGCCAAATGGTTCAATCGTTCACGCAAACTGCGAAGTGTCCGAAACGTCAGAAATAGCACGACGACAACAAAACACACAATAATAAACAGTTAATTTATTTTTAAACGTTTGTACGCCTCGCAGAAAATGACTACCGAAGAAAAAGTTAAAAAAGAAGTGTTTTTTAAAACTAAGAATAAATACCTAAGAATAACAAATAAATTTGCGATTCGATATCCGGTAGTCACCAAGTCCTAATTGCTTAAACTATTAACCTTCCCGGCTCATTCATAGTCATTATATGCATGCACAAATAATTTAATTCTCCAGGATATTCGATTTTCATTGTCTTTTGAGTACATGACACGCCAGGCCAGACGCAGTCCATTTCGAATACTAGAAAATTGTCAATATCAAAGTTTCAGGTTTGCCAATGAAGGTATTATCCGAAAATACAGTATATTGATAGAGTATGACACCACATCAAACTGGTGTATTCTACTCCTGTGATAAATTCTGGGATTAAAGGGAGACGTGGGTATTTTCATGAGCCTAAGAGCATTCTTCAGAGTGGACAATACAATCCAATAAAACCAATTACAAAGTTTCATTTATGTACTGAGAAATGAATAAATTAATGCAGTTTTAAAAAGTTTTACCATTAACGAACCAGTATACTGCTGCATTGAAATTTAACTATTATTACAAAACTTTAAATTTTCACGGACTGCATTATCAACGAACCGTCTGCTCTTCCACTCTTTAATCCTACCCTTTTTTAATATTATTTTATTGCTTAGATGGGTGAACGAGCTCACAGCCCACCTGGTGTTAAGTGGTTACTGGAGCCCATAGACATCTACAACGTATATGCGCCACCCACCTGGAGATATAATTTCTAAGGTCTCAAATATAGTTACAACGGCTGCCCCATCCTTCAAACCGAAACGCATTACTGCTTCAAGGCAGAAATAGGCAAGGTGGTGGTACTTATCCACGCGGACTCATAAGAGGTCCTACCACCGGTAAATATCCCATCCCCTCATTCTCTCCCTCTAGTTTTCAAATAGTTGGGTAAACGAATATCCTACTCTCCTGACCTTTGATACTGTGTGCTTTGTGACTTATATTAGTACAACATTTTTTTTTTATCGATATGTAAAAAAAAAGTAAATCCCATCACTATTATATTTATTGACCGATCGTACCTAAGCATTCATCTGTTTTAATATAAAGTAGGTAGTTCTTAATGAGGAGCTGCATTGTTACATTTTTAATTAATTTCATTAAATCAAATTAATTTACTCTGAATACAATTTTTCATTTACAACGGACACATAGTTATTTTAATGAAATAACATAAAAATTAATGTACATAGATACATTATTAACATAATAATTTTTTATTTTTTTTCGAATACAGTCAAAATCTGTTATAACGACATCGAAGGGACTGCTCATATTCAGTCGTAAAAACCGATAGTCGTAACAACCGGTGATGCTTAATGTGTATCGTGCAAGTACAAACAAATCGATAGGGAATTATTGGACAAATATATTTATTTAATACGCGATTTTTCTTCAATATTAATTTGTTTTATTTTTTTTTGCGACATTTGGAAAGTTTCACGAATAACTCCACAAAGTTTTGGTGCGTCTTGTGTATAGATAAGTAACAAACTAACTGAAGAGATATGAAGAAGCGGGCTTTGACTACCGCATGCACGTGTTTTGTTTCTATGAATTAGAAAAGACCCTACACTAAACTAAATCCTATTGTTTTCTTTCCTGATTTTAAAAGCCATTGAAGACAAATGTGGATACCTATTCAAATTGTTTACAACACAGCTTAGCCGGTCGTTCTAACAGATCTAATTCTCCGAAATATTAGTTAAATGTGGTCGTTTTATGAGGTATGTCGTTATTACCAATGTCGTAGAAAGCANGGTCGTTCTAACAGATCTAATTCTCCGAAATATTAGTTAAATGTGGTCGTTTTATGAGGTATGTCGTTATTACCAATGTCGTAGAAAGCAATATTTTTAATAAGGCGGTCATATGGCATTCAGCCGGGACCTTTGTTCTTGGTTATTATAACCGGCATGTTGT